TCAATATCTCTTCCTCTCTACCAAATATTCTTTTAATTATAGAGTGAGGGGTGGGGAACACCCAATATTTTGAGTGTGTATTTCTCTTTTCATTTGGATGGACAAAGTTTCCTTTGTGTATTATTATAGAATTGTAATTTTCATTATAAATTTTTGAAAAAAAAATCTTTTCAAATTTATTTCTTTATAAGATGGTAAATAATATCATTGAACTTGGTTTACATATTTCTATAATTTTGTAAATAAACATATCCAAGGGATTCATTACACTTTCCATTTTTAGGGGAGATAACTCCTATCAGTTAATACCCCCCACCCAAAAAAAAAAAAACAAATAAAAAATGCTAATAGCAGTGTCAAGGGAATAACCATCCTTTTGACAGTTTTTTGAGGGTACAAACGTTAAACATTGCCAGTAACCCTTCTAAACTTTTCGCATGTTCAAAATGGCTTTTTTCTTTTATTATAATCAGATAATTTGCTAAATAATTAACTTTCAGCACTCAGCATTAATATTACTTCACTTTCCACTGTGTTCTTTTTCAAAGCATCTTAATTGTTAATTTAACTTAAAGATGTTTTCTGTTGCTATAGCAGAATATGACATGAAATTCAAACTCACTATTGTTCAAAGGGAGGATAAACTATTTGAACAGCAAATGAAGTCACATAAAGGTTAACAAATTTAGCTAAAGATTTGGTTAAACTGAAATGAAAAATTTTCCATAAAAATGTATTTTACTGTCGTCCTTTATGAAAAGGATCATTACTTTCTTTAAGAATCTGTTCATTTTCAAGAAAATGGAAGCAATGGGGTCATTAGTAAATTTAACTGGTAAATTAAAAAACAAAGCCATAATAACAGACACAAAGTCAGACTCCACACAGATTTATCTTTTTTCTATTCTTCCAATTTAAAAATATTAGGTTGTCGTGCATGAAATGACACGTTTTCGTTGGTTGTTGATTTGGTCGTCTAACAAAGTAACCTCCTTAGTATAAAAAAAAATCTTGATTTATTCTTGACTCTTTTTCTTTCGAGATAATTTTTCTTTCAATATATTGTTACTCATAAGCCCAATGAAAATGATTACAATGAAACAATGCCGAGTGATCTTACTGTATGAATACAAATTGGGAAAAAGAACCATTTTTACATTGAATCATTACATGCAATAAGAAATGGATACTCTTTGACAACAGTAAGAGAGTATGCCAGTGTTTAGATGCAAGTGGATCACCAAAACAATACCCAAACCTCCACTACACCCTAAAAAGTTAATGGCTACTGCATGGTGGTCTTTCAAAGGGGCTATCCATTATTCATTTTTGTCTCAAGGGAAAACAATAACAGCAACTTCATGTGTTACAAAAGCTGTTTCTTTCAAATGATTCTGTAAGCTACGAAACAAATGGTAGTCTGAAGGAGCAAGATCGGGAGAATAAGGTGGGTGAAGAATTTTCTCCCAACCAAGTTCTTTGATCTTTTGTGACGTGATTCTTGCTGTGTGGGGTCGCGCATTGTCCTGATGAAACATCACCTCTTTTTGATTCACTAGAGCAGGTCTTTTTTTCCTCAAAGCTTGGTTCAAATGCTCTAATTGCTGGCAGTATATTTGTGGAGATTGTGGAGAAATTGAGTGTATGCATGAAAAATTGAAAAAGAAACATCCTGGACTTGTGAATAGGGATGGCTCATTTTTGCTGCATGACAATGCATGGCTGCACACTTCTCAATTAATTGTCTGAAAGTTGCAGAGACTGAATTATGAAATTTTGCCTTATCCTTCATATTCACCTGATATTTCTCCTACTGATTATCACTTAAGTATTTTGACATTCATACATAATAAAACATTCTCCAATAAAGAAGAGGTAATCAAAGTATTTGAACTGTTTATCACATCAAAGGCTGAGGACTTTTTTAAAGGTATGATCAAGAATTTAGAGGTATGTTGAAGAACAGTCATTCATCAACATGGTGTCTCTTTCAAATAAGTTAGTTAACTTTTCAGAAACATTTCATTCAATTCCTATAAAGTATGTCATTTCATGTGTGACAACCTAATAAAAAATAAATATTAGTTTGGCTAGAAAATCCTCTCTTAAGAGCCAAAAAGAAAACAACAAAATTTTATAGAGCAACACCAACTGATGTGACAATTTGACCTAGAATCAGTCATCCAGTGGGTTGAGAAGTTGGCTTCAAATCTCTACAGGCAGCTTGTGCCTCGATGAGGTCATGTGGATCCAGTTGCGGGCTTCATGGGAACAAAATCCCCTTGATGCAATTAGTTCAGCTCAGTCTGATTGGATGACACTCCAACAACTTTCTAAAGATCATGACTGCTTGCAGAAGATTCAATTTTCAAAGCTGCCACTAAAGCCTCACTGTCAAATCGTTGATGGTCAGCCGGAATGTGGTTGATTGTCAAAAGTAAGATTCCTGGAATTCAAACATCTGTATCACCTTGAGACCTTTAAACAAATGACTGTGCTTCTTCAGTATTGCAAATTTCCTTCACATCAGCTCTTGAAGAAAGTCTTTGCTTGTAACAGTAGTGAACCAAAACTCTAATTCTACTTTCTTTCAAACTTATTTCTGTCAGTTGGGGCCTACACAAAGAGGAATAAACTGCACAGGGGCAATAAACTGCAGCGTACAGAGTCAAATGAGTAAGGACATTTTGGCTAACCAAATCTAATGTTGCTGTTGCACCATAAAATTTTGTTTTCTTTCCTCTTCCTAAAGTGAGTCAGGACTTTCTGATCAACCTAGTAAATGTGAATATATTCTTATCGGAATTTCTAAGTTGAAGAATTACGATTATTCTATGCTTTGCTATTCAAACCAGCATGTAACGCCTGGCTTGTTAGATTCCCATTTTGGTTATTCTATTTTTGAGCTTTCTTCAAATATCTGTCTTATTCAGTAAAATTTTTATAATTTCAAACTGCATCCTTTATTCAATGCAAAAGAGTAGATTGTTCATTACACTTTCCATTTTTAGGGGAGATAACTCCTATCAGTTAATACCCACCAGTCTTATTCACCTTTGTGTTGCTTGTCCACTTCCTCTCAACCAGAGAATGGGACTTATCAGTTCAATCCCTGTGAATGGCAGTGCTATCTGCCAGTATAACAACCAAGATGAACATACTGGTCTCCTTCTGCTTTCCATGCTTAGGGGATATTTTCTATCAGTTAATGCTCACCAGTCTTATTCACCTTTGTGTTGCTTGTCCACTTCTTTCTCTCAACAAGAGTATGTGACTTAGCACTGCCATTCACAGGGATTGAACTAACAACTGCCAGTAAAACAATCAAGGTGAGCATGTTGGTCTGATTCTGCTTTCCATACTTAGGGGATATTTTATATATACTCAACAATCCATCTTGGTGTCACTTGTCCATTTCCTCCCACAAACCAGAGTATATAACTTTTTGTATATTTGATTTGAAATTATGAGGTTACAAACTCTGAAAATAGGAGGTCAAAGAGCACAAACGTCGACCCATTGCAAGCATAAGCAAAATAAGTATGCTGGTTCAAATAGCGAAGTGTATTATCAACATATCAACTCAATGATTTTATTTGTATGTATATAGGTAAGGACAACCTGACCACCCACATAGCTACAAGGTGTAATACAAGATGGAGATTTACAGTGGGATTTGATGGCAATACTGTGTAAAAATTTCTGAGGCCCTCCTCGGCACTTCCCCTTTTAGGGACACCTCAGGTGCCAGGCAATGAACCTACCCACTACTGAAAAAGAGGTACTGCTTGGGGGTAGGGGAGGACCCCTGCAATTTGAGATTATTTTTTTTTTTTTTTAAATTTCTCAAGCATGTGCTAGGTAAGTGTGTGTGTGTGTGTATATATATATATATATATATATATTTATTTATTTATATGAAATGGACCAAGTTGGACAATTATTTTAATATATTTATTGTTTATACGTTATTTTTATAGATACAAATATTTAAGTAAATGCTCTGTTTATAATAGTATTAACAACACTTACCAGCCTGAATGTCCAAGAAATTTTATAGGAAATATGTACTGCAACAGTAATCGAACATGTATCCTATACAGAACTGACATATAACCTGACATGCTATACCATTTAGCTACAGAGGAAGTGTCTGGTTTAAAAGCAGTAATTCAACCTTGCTAATCAGATGCTTCCTCTGTAGGTAAGTAATAGTATCTATAAAAATAACGGATAAACAATATATATATATATTTGTAAGCTCATCTATAGAGAGCAAAAGTCAATCCCTCTCCATGTCCTTGTACCATACTAAACTAACATTAATAAATTTTCAGCATTGATTCACAGAACAAAAATTTGTGAGTGTCTCACTGGAAACAGGATAGATTCTGTGGGTGCCTATTGACTGAGTAATATTTAAAAGGTAAAATTCTATTCAATTTGTTTTGCCTTTACAGTACTCCTCCAATATTATGAATTTGTGTTACACTAATCACTTTATCTACTACTACTACTACTACTACTACTACTACTAGTAGTAGTAGTAGTAGTAGTAGTAGTAGTAGTAGTAGTAGGAGGGAGGAGGAGGAGGAGGAGGTTTATATGGTAAAACAGCAAAACTGACAAGAACTAAACATTAAATATGAAAGACTAACACATGGTCTAAAATACCCACTGCAAGTTTTTCTCTTAAAAATGCAAAAAGAGCTGTCCTCTATGTAGATGTTATCAGGGCTCCAACCTTAAAGTAACACTGCTTTAACTACTATTACAACTGCTGCTATTTGAACCAGTAGTTAAAGTGAATAAAATTTCATTGCTATTACTACTAACAATGCAATAGTAGTACTTATAGCAAACAAGATGTTAAATTTTTACCAATTTTTTCTGTCCATGTACTTTTATTCTTTTTTTTTTTTAAGTTATATTTGTTCAATGTCTTCCTTTATTTTTACTTTTTTATTTTTTCTTTTCTTTGCCATAGAAATTGTCTAAACCAAGTCCAGTAAATACAAAAAGGGTTCCAAGCCATTGTCTTGAAGACATGGGATTCTGGAAGATAATAACAGAGCCAAGAATAGTGAAAAATTTGCGAGTGGTTGTGACAATGGAACAGGTCAGCGGTCCAAATTTGGCAACAGTTATGAAGATGAATGTCTGGAAAAAAAAAAAAAAAAAAAACAATGTTTTAAGAGCAGATGTAACAAATAAATAGATTCATTATTATACAATAAATATGGACTTTTTATCCATAGAGGGTACCAAAGTACTAAGTGGTAAATTTTATCTAGTATATTCTCATGATTTCTCCTGTTCTCTATTGCTGTCCTAATAAATACTTTTTTCATTTTCTTGCCATTTTAAATCCCTTTTTCTCAGAGATCCCAGCTAACCTAACCACTGGTTAATTAGAGTACTAAACCCATGCACATGGATTCTGTTTATTATAATTGCTAATTAGTAAAATTTCAATTACAAATGTCAACATTGAAAAATTAGCAATCTGTAACCCTTGTGCTCACAAAAAAAAAAAAAAAAAAAAAAAAAAAAAAGGTGTATCAAAAGGACATTTTTTTCCTTGACAGCACTATTAATTTAACTTACCTTCATATTAACTCCTTATATATATATATATATATATATATATATATATATATATATATATATATATATATATAATGAAATGGGAAAATATACATACATACAAAATATATTTAAAAAAACCATACATGTATATTTTCAGAAAAAAATTTTCCAAGAGGAAGAATCCAGGTAGAACTCAATGTTTTAGGACAAGTAAGGATTTTATGAAATGGGCAAAGTCCAACAATTATTTTCATTTGTTTTTTTATAGATACAAATATTTAAGGAAATACTCTGTTTATAATAAACAGTATTAAACAACATTTACTGGCCTGAATGTCCAAGAAATTTTCATAGAAAATATTCATCCTCTGACAGGAATCGAACCATCATTTGTAGTTTAAAGACAATCAAATCGACCTTGCTAACCAAACGCTCCTCTGTGGCCCAATCGGTTAAAGGCACGTCAGGCTATATGACAGTTCCGTATAGGATACAGGTTCAATTCCTGTCGGAGGACAAATATTTTCTATGAAAATTTCTTGGACATTCAGGCATGAAGGATCATTTTGCAGGACACCATTGCAGTTTAAATGCCATAATCTGACCTGTTAGATTATGCCAATGACCACATCCAACATACTATGCCTTGCCAAATAAATCCATAAAGAATTTTAAGCTTATTAGCAGTATTGGTCCATGCTTAAAATTCTTGATAGCCAAGTCATACAAGCAGTAATCATTTTTAAGCAAAAGAAGGAAATTTTTATTTTGTTTTCATTTAAATTGCAACTTACCTGACCCAATGCACTGGTGACGCTAAATGCTAATATATTGTAGAGAATAGAAGGATAACGATAGGCAAAAGCAAGGAAAGCAATTCCTTCTCCTGTGAAGACTAAACCTGAAAATGAAATAAGAGTAAAGAAAAACATGAACAAGATAATAATATTAAAGTATGAAGCAAATAAAAAAAAGTCTAATAGAAATATTTGTCTTTATACAGGACCAATGAATATACCTTTCTTCTCGATTTGCAATCTATTTTTATAGTAAAATCATTTACAGGAGATATTCTGTCAGTAATGGTTTTGTAACATTAGGTTGAAAATTTTAATCCCAAAATAAATTGTATAACACATACATAGATTTTATATATCATAGGTACTCATTTATAGCAAGTGTTTTTATGATCCTTTTTTTTTTTTTTTTTTTAACATAAAAACAGGGGTTTGCACTATTCACAGGTAATTTTTTCTGGAGAGGTTAAAATTCATGTAAAAAAAATTCAGGGGTTGCACTATATATGAAGTTGGTTTATTCACAAATATATACAGCATATGATTTGAATATTACTTTGTCTGATGCACACACAAGTGCTCTATTTTCTTTTGAAAGAGCCTTTTTACCATAAAAATAACATTTTTTTTATTATTTATCCATTAACAACCAGTTTCACGCAGTGGATTTTTTAAAATGGGTATTTGTTTTCATTGGATACACATGACCTCTACAGTTCTTTTATACCTTTTTCAAAATGAATACATCATTAATAGAATGAGGCATAATAATAAAAAGATCACAGAAACCAAAGGAAAAACGGGTTTTTGTCGAGAGCCAAATGTATTGTTAGTTATATATATATATATATATATATATATATATATATATATATATATATATATATATATATATATATATTTTTTTTCCAAAATGTATCGCTGGTATTTTTACTATAAAATTTATCTTTACACTTTAGAGTGTTTAGACCCCAGTTAGGGGTCTAACTATTTTCCCATAGTTGGGAACCTAACAGGTGCTACCATCCTGGATCAGGGTGGACTTGGGAACAACAGCCAATAAGAGGTGGTTCCATGCTCCTCAAAACCTCCCAATCAGAGACCTTGCTGCCAG